AGCTGGTGGTGTAATAATAAAATATAAATTTGGCCATTAATATGTTCCTATTGGCTCAGTTTCAATCAGTTTCAGTCTTTTTCTTCATTTGCATTATTAGGTAAAATGCCAACTGTGGTATCTCCGGAATTATACCGTACTAGATTTTGTGAAGCAATGGATAAGTACTTTTTGATGGTGCCAGATCATTGGACAGGCCTGGGCCTCAATTGCTAAGATAAGGTGGTGCAATGGAATGATGTCTTCAGATTCAAAAAGGATATAACAAGAGAACTGTCTTTCTACATCGCCATCCTCAGCTTGCCTCTCACAACAGCAACTCAAGGGTCTTCTGCTACAGTCTTCGCAGCTAGGCTTTCTTGCCATGTGAATTTGCCCTTGAGATGTCAACCCTGCAGTGGAAGAAGCATTCAGTTCTTTGAATCAGAATGCTACTTTCACGAAACCTGAAGTAAACAAGTCTGGGACCAAGGGGGAGCTTGCCATAAATTACACGGCCTTGTATTGATGCACTGAATAACCAGTGGCTTTTGTGAACAATCGAAACAGTGGTCCTAATAATAGGGGGCATGCTGGCCCCACCGATTGCAGATATGATACTGTTGTCTTTAATCATGAGGAACCAAGACAGTCTGTTAATAGTGCTGCCCCTGTGATAGGAGTTTATTTTGCAAGTGTTATTGTATATTGTGTAATTTGTTATGCACTGGATTTATTTTACAACTTTCCTTTGAGCAGTATTTTGATTATTTTAATCATTTCCTACATGGTCATTTGAAGCCCTTTTTTAATGTTGTAAAGTTTTTGTGTGGTCTGATATTTTATTGGAGGGCTACTTCCCTTTCTGAATTCTAATTTAGGCTTCATACAAATTTCAGAAAAATTCAGGTTGAAATATCTTTGTGTCCCAAAGGTAAATTTTCTCAAATGGAGCCTCCGTGGTTGAGTCAAATGGTCTCAGACCACCAGGTGTTACTTTAAATATGCCTTTAACTCTATTCCATTCTCTCTTTTTGTCACAGCAAAATATTGGGATGTTTTTGATTTTGTTTTAATTCAATAATTAATAGCTATCTGATAAAAACATTATCCTAGTTTCATTTTAGCACCATTTGAGAAATGTACTATTGATGTCGCTGTGCTGCACATACTCAGGTTGTATTAATAAATTAGGCTGTTAAAACAGTAGTTCCTTTGGCACCACAAAACATTTGCAGTTGTGCTCCGAACAAGAAAGGATGTGGGGTGGGTGGCAAATTAGACTTCATGGTAAAGATTTGGGTACTTTTACAAATTGAGAGTAAGCACTTTTTTTAGTATTTTTTGTAAATACAAAATGTTTACTATATTAAAAAAAGATGTGTCATTAAGCAGGTAAGATTTGTAGCCTTACTGATTGTCTCCCTTTTGGTTTGAGCCCAAGTAGTTGGTTGAGTTGAGGTAGGTTTTCCCTTGTGATTTTGCTTCTGGTTGCAGCCAGGAGCCTTAAACCTACACTATTTAACATAGCTTAGGGAAAGTTACAGCATTCCAAGAAGTCATTAAATTCTGGCTTAGAGACAGTTGATGATGCATGTGTGGACTTAGGTTGTAGGTTGGATTTTTCATGGGGAAGTTCAAATCTTAAATCTGCTTTTGTGGCTAGTCTTGTTTAAATTTATGTCTGAAATAGTAAAGATTTTTATATGAAACCAGATAATAATTTGAATAAATTAATGTTTATAACCAAGTTTTTATTCTGTTTATATTCATTTTATTTATTTATTTATTTAGAACTATTGAGCAAAGATCATTAGCTTTGATATCGATGAAAAAACACATTCCTTAATTATTCATTACTTAAACAGCAGTGTTAGTATTTAGCTGGTACAAAGTAATTCAAAATAAATGTTTTGCCTGACTTTAAAAAACAAAATATAGCATGAAGTGACTTTCTTCTGCTAATTATCCAGAGGTCGGAATATTTGTATGCAGTTGTGAGTAATGAATATGCATATTAATACACAAGTAGCAACTGAAAATGCCATATTCCAATTCTAATGCATGTTTCTTGCCACAATTGAAGCACAGAGATGTACACCATACAGATGCATTTGCCCTGTTACACAATACACCCAGCTGATGTAACTTCCAAGAGTTAATGGTGATTGGAGTTCTGCATCAAATATTCAGGAGCACCTTAGCTAGAAAGCAAAGCAGTTTTTTCTTTTTTAAATGAATTCTTCTGAAAATTGTCCGTAACATTTGAAATTCTGTTAATAACGACTTCTTTACATTCTGAAAAAAATAATAAATGCCATTCAACATTTTATATCCTCCCCCCCCAATCTTGATACACTATTTAGTTTATGACTCTTTAAATTAAGGTAAGGTGTTAACATAGTATTCTGGAAACAAATATTTTAACAGTATTCAAGTTGTGCTCACTCTGATGAGTTCCTTTTAATTTTGATGTGTATAGATTTCTTTTGTCTTTTGTGTCTAAGTCTACAATTGTGGGAAAGATATACTTTATTAACTATTCTGTTAGCAATAGTAAGAAGGGGTTATGTGCATATCACACAACTTAATAGGTGGTCCATATTGTTGCAACCTAAACAATGGGCATTGTTTACAACACTCCGAAAAATTATCTGTTACAATTGGGAAAAATAATTGAATCAAAATGTTAAAAATTATGATGTTAACCATAAAATATTTTCAGATTATTTATTTAATGTATATAATGTGCATATTTTTATCTTAGTTGAGATGTGTTTTTTATGATTCTGATATGTTAAACTATTTAAATACATTTTCTCCATTTACAAAATTATGTATATAGAGAGTAACAATAAAATAATCAAAATATCTGTTGTGCCCATCTGCTTTATTTCATCCTTGCCTCAAAATACTAACATTGGCATTGTAACATGAGAAGATTGATTTGAATCATTTAAGTACTAAAGTTATGGGTAGAGATCAGTGGTGGGATTCTGCCGGTTCTAGGCAGTTCAGCCGAACCGCTTGTTAAATTGCTGGCTCTCCCCGCCCCTTGCCCCTTACCCTCACTCCTACTCTAATTTCCCTTCCCTTCCTTCCTCCCTTCTCTTCCTTCCCTCTCTCGCCTTCTTTCTTCCATCTCTCTTCTTCCTTCATCCCTCTCTATTGCTGTATCCTTTTGTGCATATGGATTACTCAGAGGGCTGAAAAAGTTATTTTTGACTGGTCCTCGCACTTTTGACCACTCCTCAAACTTACGACTGTCCTCACATTTTATGTTTTTAGCCTCACATTTTACGTTTACTATCTTGTCACCATGATGAAGAGAAGCAGTTGTGAAATGAGTGACACGGTTGTTAAGAATGTTACAATGGGCATAAATGATGACCAGTCATAAGGGTGAGGACCGGTCAAAAGTGCGAAGACCTGTCAGAAATCACTTTTTTCAGCCCTCTGGGTAGTCCTTTTGTACATATGGACTACTCAGAGGGCTGAAAAAGTTATTTTTGATTGGTCCTTGCACTTTTGACCAGTCCTCGAACTTACGACTGTCCTCACATTTTACGTTTTACGCCCTATCTTGTCACCGTGGTGAAGAGAAGTAGTGGTGAAATGACTGACACGGTTAAGAAGGCCACAACAGGCATAAATGTGAGGCTGCTCATAAGTGCGAGGACCAGTCAGAAATGACTTTTTTCAGCCCTCTGAGTAGTCCCTATGCACATAGCCACGCCCACCCGGTCACATGACCAGCTAGCCACACCCACCCAGTCACATGACCACCAAGCCACACCCCCAACTAAGCCACGCCCACAGAACCGGTTGTTAAAAAAATTGAATCCCACCATTGGTAGAGATATTACATAAATTTGATTGCTATATCTTGCTAGGCAGGGGTGCAAACAGACAACTACCAACTTCACCACTTCCAAATGTTTTAACAAAATTTCAACTCAAATGTATAATACATATTTGGAAATAGGTATTAACACATTAGGTAACAATACCTTTGTATGAATTTTAGAAAAAGATAGTATAGAATGGGTGGATCAGACTTGAAATGGAGTATTTTGTTGATTCTTTCACAATTCTATGGAGCTTGCCAATGCCTCTGTTGCCCACAAAATGACTGGGAACTGGAGGGTTGTCGCAGTTGCCTTCCTTCTATTAGAGCATCTGGTGTGTGTCATATAAGCAGATCTTCTAAACTTAAAGTATAAAAACAGGAGTTTGCATCTGATGAAGTGAGCTGCAGTTCATGAAAACTTATGCCTTTCAATGTGTTAATTGGAAAAGGTGCTACCAGACTCCTGATTTGTCACCAAAGACTTAACGCGGTTCTCTTTATAATGCATTCAAAGGCACACACAATCTACAGCTCCCAGAATTCCCACTTGTTGCTTTTCTGGGAAATTAGGAAAGCTGCTGCAATATAGCTGTTGGTTTTTTGTCAGTTTCTTTGTGCTTCTTCGTTAATGTCTTTGTGTGGAGTCAAAGAAAACAGAAGAATTTCTGCCTAAATAATATATCTTAGTTTGGGTTCTGCATCATCCAAGCCTAGAAATACGGTTGATTTAGTTATGATCCTGATTATGGTTTGAGCCTGAGGTAGTTCTGAAGAGTTAGTTTTCCAGGAAAGAGGTTGTAGGACTGGGTGCCAACTGAAGCTTCTATTGCTTCCTTTTTTTCCTCCTCTCTATGGGTTCAATCCCAATTTTGCCAGCAAAGGTGTTTTTCTTTTTTAAAGATTCATAGGCTAGGGGCCTGATTCATCCAGCCCTAAAAAGGGATGAATTTTCAGTGGCTCATATGGCCCAAACCCAGCTTTTTTATTAACGTTGCTTCAAACTCCTGGTCGAAAAAGTCAGATTCGGCGGGACCGTCCACTCCACTCACATCGACGTCGATTGAATCATTCAACTGCTCTGCAATCTCCTCCCCGTTCACGTTTTTAATTTTTTTTTGTAATGCAGCATATGGCTCTGCATGCAAGTCCTTTTCTGTCCGGTCTCGTTACGCATTTGCATTTTCTCACCATCCCTATTGCAGGATGGGAAAGGGGGGTTTGCAGTAGGTGGGCGGCGGAATGAGATAGCTGGTCACCCCCGGCCCGCCGTCTCCCCTTCCCAGAGCCAAAAGTGAGGCTGGCAAAGGGAGCCTCCCTGCACCTGCCTTCCTCCGCGCCCGAGAGGATCGGGAGTGGGTGGGGATTCCGTTCCAAGAGAAGGGAAGGATCGCCGCAGCCTTGAGTGGCGAGAGCGTCCCGCGTTGACACGGAAAAGTCCGGGTCGGCCGGCCAGCCCAGGAAGGGAGGCAGCAGCTGCCTTCCTCCACGCGTCTCGCCGCTAAGCTCACCCCTTTGCCTGACCTCGGCCCTGACCGCCTCCGGCTGAGTGGAAAGGGAGAAAGACGGCTCCCTCCGCGACACTCCGGGTGCGCGTCGCTCCTTGCCTCTCCTGGGGAGCGCCGGTGCCCGGGAAGTTCACCGCGGTTTGTGCGGCTCAGTCCAGCTCTACCGGCCGATTTTGAACGCCTCAGGCGGCAACAACAAGGCGACGTTGTTTCGCCGCTCAGCCCCTCTTCTTCTTCGCCCCTGGATTTCCTCCCTGCTATTTCGCTCCTTTTCCTCGGAGCCCTTTCCAACTTTCCTCGGCGCAGAGACTAGCAACGACCCGAGAATGCCCGCCGTCCTGGCGTTCCTCGCGATGGGCGGCTGCTTCCTGGCTCTAGCAGAGGTAAGGAAGCCCCGGGGGGCGCCGGGAGCCCCTCCGCCGAAGAGGGTCGGGGGGGAGGGGGTTGAGAGGGAACGCTGCTGAGAAGAGGGGGGAGGCATTTCCCTTAAGACCCCCCCCGCACCCCTTTGGGGAATGTGTCGCGCAAGGCTGCCGGTGATCAGGATCGGGGTGCAGTTATGGCCCCCGGTTCAAGGGCGACCTGTTGGGGCGATTGCGGTAGGCCTTCCTTTGGAAAAAGAGCCTTTCTGGCTCTGAATCCCGGAGATGTGCCATTTTCCCCATCCTACCACCACCACCACCAGCTCCCCAGAGAAAGAAAAAATCTTGCTAAACTTTTTTCCCGAATCAGTTCTCCAGGTACTGTTATATCTCCCAAGGGAAGGAAAAAACAGCAAGTGAAGCAGTATTTCCAGCATCGGTTTCATAGCAGAGCAGTTCTAAGACAATTAAGGCTGAGCCACTGGCCCTGTTTATTGTTTTATTGAACTTTGGCCATTTATCTGAAGCCTCCCTGCCTTAACAGCTAGGAGGCCAGCACACAATTGCTAAGTGCATGTGTTTCTCTCCTTATAAAGAACAATTTTGAATCTGTGTCAGGTAAAATTGATGCTGTTAGTTAATGACACATGAGTTCTTCGAGTTCAAGATCGATTCCCTATAATTTACTTTCCTTCAAGTCCAGGAATGGTTGAACTATGATCTTTGGAGCTTCAGTTCCTTCTTATTCTTGTCTGGTGGAGTTTATCCCATTTCCACTGGGCTGCAAATTGTTCCTGTCAGTGCACTTTACTCATAGCCACAGCTGTTTCTTTCCAACAGAAGAGTAGCTATGCTTCTTTGGGGCTGGAAGTGGAAGACTCTCTTCTGTGTCACAAGTTGCATTTCATTCTAACCATATGCTGTTTTTGGCTGCAGCTGATGGTTCCTGTTGGCACAGTTTGCAGGGGATAGAAGCAATGAAAGTAAAGAGAGGTGCAGAAGGAGATTCAAACAACCACAGAAGAGGCAATGCATGTAGAATAGCCAAAGCCAAGGGGAGGATCTGAAATCAAGGGCCTGATCTTTAGCATGAAACGCAGTTTCTCTGTGAAACATTACACAGGCTTGTCTGAAACATTGGGGGGATGACACTTAAGTGTGGTAACATCATCTTCTCAGATTGAGACAAGCAAGCTCCAGAAAAATATGTTGGGAAAAACTGAATGAAAAGTGAAATTACTTTAAAATCTCATATACATTCTTCTGAAGTTATACACATTTGTGAGGCAACCTTTTTGTTTACTCCGGCTAATTGATTTCATGATATATATTGTGAAGATATAAATTACATGGATTTATTTGCAACAGCTGATTTGTAAAATGCATATTTTAGTTAAAAAAATCTAAACAAGAATTGAACACATGGTAGGTACATTTTCTACCCCAAAGCAATACCCCAAAATACAACATTGGTAAACAATATTAGCAATGTCAACAAAAGTACCTGTTACGGAAGACATTTTTGTCATGATGACTGAAATCCTTGAGCAACAGTCCTAATTATACTTATTGGGGAGTAGAATTGGACTATGGTAAAATATTAAGAAATGTATTGTTACTGTTTTATATACTACATAATAGAAACAAATGACTGGGAATGAATTCATCTGCTAGAACCTGAAAGACTGACTTTGTGGGCAGAGAGAAGAGAAATCTGAACCATATATCACCATATTCTCTTTTCACTCAGTTTCATCTTGTTATGATTACTGTTATCAGCCTTTTCTCCCTTTTCTCCCCCTTCCATTTGTCACATTCACTCTCATCTTGAAATCTTTCTTTTTACTGTCTTCAGAATTTTTTGGGGTCTGGTAGGAATTAGTAAAACAAAATCTGAAAAGCGGGTCTGTTTTCCTGAATAGCAGGGAAGAGCTGTGCTTCTGCATGATCTCAGAACATTTTCAAAGAGTGTACATTCTTAGCTCTGAATTAGCTAGAAATCATTGAAGAAGAGAAGGAAGAGGGGAAGAGGAAAAGATGAAACATGGGTAATAAGAAAGAAAAGCACCTAGCTGGTTGATGAGGCCAAAGACTTCTAGTATGTGTCTGGGATAGGAAAATAGTATTCCTCTGGAATCCCTTCCCAGTTTTGGTTGGTCAGTGAAAAACACTTCATTTTCTCACACTTTTTCTCTATTGGATCTTTCTAAAGTTTGCAATTTTTCTATCACTGCTGCCCAACAGCTGATGAGGGGGGGGGAGCATTCCCCAGTTTGGCTCCTCCCAATTTTATAGCTGCATAAAAGACCCAGGGCAACCCAGCCCCATGTAATCAAACAATTGAGGGTTCTGCAAGAACTAATTGTTCATGCTGCTTTCTCCTCCACAAAGCCCAGTCTGGCAGGAGAAAGTGTGTGTGCAGGGTGATCCCAGAAAAAGTTGATGGCAAGAAAGATTCCTGTGCTGGCAAAACAAACAAAAAATAAATTCCTTAGTGAAGTGGGAGAGCTAAGAAGAGACTTGAGCTGGGAGATTCATATGCACAAGGAATAACAAAGGTTGCTATTTTTCCTTTGGTAATTGAGAAACTATTTCTGACTTGGACATTTCTCGACAGGGTGGCCTTGGATGATGTGCCTGCTACATTCAGACTGCTACCTATTGTGAAAAGGTACTAATGTTTAATTAGCAGATATCCCCCTCTTGCCATGGTTGAGCTCTGTATGTACAACAACAAAAACCCTGAGCTGAATGAAGGTACTAAAACCAGAACCTAAAACTGTAGGAATCTATAGAAAGATGAATCAGTGCTGGATCGTTTCCTTTTGAAAACTGCAGATATTTAAGGTAGGTAGATAGCAGCAGTTTTCATTACCACTTGATTTTGCCAGCACAAGGTCAAAGAGAGTTTTCTTGGCTTAGGGGGATTTGTAGTGCTAACTGAACTTTTCAACAAGCACTTGGAGATGGGTAAGAGGAAGACCAGACAGGTTATTTGGAGTGGGTCTCACTGCTAAACATTGCTGCAGGAAATCTGATTCCATTCAACCTCTTTCTTCGGTTAGTATTGTAATAATGCTGCTTGCATTGAATGGGCATATTGGCTTAGTTGAGTTATTTAATACAAGAAAAATAGGTTTTTTCTTTTGCTGCTTGATTTAAATGTCTGCTGCTATTGTGAACAGATATGAACTCACCTTTGATAATTCTGCATAAGTTCAAGACAATTAAAGAATTGTGTACATGGAAAAACAGAGATAAAATCACAAGGAGAGATGCACACTGAGCATAAGAATCTAATAATTAATTCATTACATTCCAAGAGGTTCACTGCATGTATGACTTTACAATTTGTTTTTTTTTTCCCTTTTTCTAGCTTTAAAATTAATCTGAGAGCTGACCCTCAAGTTCAATTTCAAGTAGAGATTAAAGTTATAAATACATAGAACAAATTCCATTCTGAAATCTCACCATTCCAGAGGGAGAATCTTAAGGGAAACTTGACTCTGATGTTGCTATTAAATCCAAACTATTATGTTTTATATTTTTTCATTTTTGAATATCTAGAAGAATATCCTGCTAAAGGCAACTGGAAACACCCCCCCCCCCACACACACACACGACCAAGGCAGCAGTAGACATAGGAGGAAGATCAAGGAGAGGAAATGCCATGGCAAGACAAGAACTGTCAGTCACTGGAAAGGGATGGACTTAAAGACTAAAACAGCAACATTAGGAAAAAGAAATATGAGAAGCTGGAGAAGTACCAGGGCCTGAAGGAAGCACTGGAGAGGATGTGTAAACTAAAGGCCAAAGTGGTCTAGTATCAGTAGGCACACTTGAGGCTGCAACTCCAAGCTGGGAGAGTAGTTTCAACAGATCCATCCCACTTTAAAAAGACCATGGAAGTTCTCCATTCATTTCTGGCTTATAAATGTTTGTTTTAACAACTTTTTTATTATTGTATGTGAATTTTCATCCTTCTTTAAGAATCAGAAAGATGCCCTTTAAATTTGAAGCAACATATAAAGAAAAGCTAGGTCTGAATATAGTGTTTATTTCTATGTTTAAATGTGCATCAGCAGGCCAACAGACTTCATGCAGATCTAGAGCAACAGTCTAAATGTAGGGAAGACAAAGGAGACTCCTACTTTGCAAGGATATATCACCCTTGTCACCCAATTTTTATCCCACGCCTTTAACAAACTTAATCCCCCAGGGTAAGGTTTCCATATCTGGGCTGCAAAAATATCGACAACCACAAGACAGCAGAAATTGTGTTTTCTCCTCTCTGCCCTGTCTAAGTAGTCCTCTAGCTTTGCTGCACAAGTGCAGGGAGCCCTTGCAAAAGAAGTATAGTTCAAACAGAAAGCAAGAATAAAGGAAGAGCCCCAGTTGCAATGCATCCCGTTCCTGGCTGCTCTTTTCCAACTCTCACCTTCTTCCTGTTTATGGAGGAACAAGAGGAGAGAGAGGGAGAAGTCATTTAGTGCTGTCTCCCACCAAAGATCATCACTGCTCCTTTCAGGATTTGATGCTACCGTATTTATTTCCAGAACTGAGCTCCTAAGAAAATCAAGGTTGATGGTTTTTCATTCTTTTCTGCTGGCATCCAGGTTTCAAAAATCTAGACAAGAACAAGATGGCAGCAAACAGATAGAGGGAACTCTTATGCCTTACCTATTGGTGAGATTTTATCTATAGGTAGATGTTATTTAATAACTGCCCTTGTTTAGTGATTGCTTGAAGTTACAGTGGTGCTGAAAAAGTAACTTTATGACCAGTCTTCACATTTGCAACCATCACAATGTCCCCACGATAGCATAACTGACATTCAGGTGCTTTGCAACCAGTGCATGTTAATAACTGTCACAGCATCCCACAGACACATAATTGTCATTTGCACACTTCACAACTGACTTCTGACAAAAGCCAATGGAGAAACTGGCACTAAAATCCAAGCTACATGTTGGATATTTATCCTACGGTTGGGTGGGTAATATATAGAAAAACTATGTTTG